CAAGAGTTTGTATTTTTATCTTGTTTCCAGTTGTGGTCACATGTATGCAATGACATTGAAGAGACCAGTGGAAATGTGTTCATTTAGAGAGCTTCAATTTGCTGATGACAAAAAGTTCTTGTTTTCATCTCATTTGGTTTGCTTGAATTCTCAATTTGTGTTTTGATAGCTGTGAGAGCATAGACCAGAGATTAGACAAGCTGCTGATGTGCCAGCCAGGCCAGGCCAAGGTGACATGCTGAAACAAGTACTGCAATGGAAGGAGTGTGGTATTATCCCTTTTGACTGAAGGTTTAAGGCTGTGCTTTGGAAATTAATTTGCAGCCTGAGGTTTGATTATTCCCAGCTGTAATTAAAAAAAGCAGGTAGTACCTATTGCCAAGTAAAAATTTTTTCCCACTCTCTTGCAGTAAGAGGTAGCTGCTGTTTCTTTTGGATAAAAGTTTGCTCACTCTGGGATACTTGGAGCTGCATCTTAAATGCTGCAGAAATTACAGCCAGTGCAGAATTTGGCAGCTTGCATATTTAAGTGAGTTACTCGTCTGTTAGCATCGTGAAATGTCATTCTCTGGTATAATTGCCTTTTTCAAGGTTACTTTTAAGAACCAAATCCTGATACCCAGAGCTCTGCAAGGACTGTCTTCTCCCTCTGGGGTACTGCAAGACAGTTCTTAAATTTTCTGAAGATGTTCTATAGCCAGCAAAAAAAAAGGGAAAAATCATGCAGTTCAGAAGTGCTGCTGTAGAGGAAGACACGGTTTATGGTGGGAAGGATGATGTCCCATTGAATCCATGGTTTGGTGTGTTTTACTCCTAATTACCTTCTAAGAGTTTATTGAGTGAGAGCCACCCAAACCCTGTCATCCTGCTAAACTCATGAAATTACTGAATGCCCTGTCCCAGTGCTTTTATGTTCTGAGCTGTTGTGTGTCTGTCCAGCTCTCACAGCACTACTGAGCTGCATCTGATTCTCTGCCTGTGAGTCCTTTCTGTTGTTGTCTCATCGTGGGAGGGTTTTTCATTCATATGCAAATAATACAGTTGTTATTGTGATGGTGATTCACCAGGGTAAGTCTGACAGGTGTCTCTGACAGGAAAGCATTCAAAGCTTTCAGCAGCATTTTCTGTAGGCTCAGAGCAAATGGACAAAAATCAGACAAGTGAGACAAGTCCTGTAGGAGCAGCACCTCTGTCGTTCTGTGGTACCATGAGCAAGCAGCTGATGAAACAGGAGAATCTTTCCTTGAGTACTGCAGGCACAACAGCCATAACTGCAGCTCATCTTGAAATGCCAGGATGGAAACATTTAATCATTGATCATGGAAGTGCAGCAGTCTCTGTTGAAGGAACTGACTGGGTCACTGTGAGCTTGTAGCCACCTGAGCTCCTCAAATTGCTGTCAGACCTCGAAATACTTTACTTTCATGCCAGTCAGAAGGAAAACAGATTTGATCCCTGTAATGCAACTAGGGCTGATGGAATTACCCCAGTTCCTTTGGGGCATTAAAATCAAAGCTGCTGCTGATATCAATATTGCTCTCATGTTATCCCATGCACACTTTCAGAAATACTCCAGATAGGAAGACATTTCATAATTTGAAATAAAATTTTATAGAACAATATATTTATAACATTTCTATATGGAATGAGAGATCTCCCTGACATATGTAAACATATTCCTTTAATGAATATGTATAGTTTTCATGTTTTGAAGCATCATTAATTCAGCACTGTTTACAGCCTGTTATTCTTTCTAATTATACAGCTGATAAATATTCCAGTGCCATGACCCTTGGAACAGTACTGCAAAGTACAAGACTGCTTTTTAAAGTTCACCTCCTCTTGTGTTTTACCAAAAGGATTCTTCTCCTTTACTAGGAAAGGGCTGTGAAGGAATTCTGTAGTCTCCTGAAACCAAGTGCCATAGAAACCCATTTGAAGACAGCCTGATTCTATTAGTATTAGTAATTAGCAGGAGTGTAATAGTAAATTATTGCCCAGTTGTCTTCCCCAAATCAGACATTTCTATTCAAGAGGTGAAGGAGACGTGCATTTGCCCACTATTTTTTGTGTGTGTTGTCAAATCTCTGTGCTCTACTGGCCTGTATTGTGTAGCCATCTATTTTAAAAAGGCAAGCCCATCTTTCCTTGCATTCTTTTTTGAAGACTGCAAACAGAGCAAATAATGGTGATACTGATCTTGAGATTGTATCCACAAATATCTCTTAAGAATGAAAGCTACTGCTCTGGATACCACTGCAGTCTGTATCGATCGTGATCCACATTCAGTGAAAGGCTGCACTGGTGACAGAAGGAAAAAACTCATCTCCCTTTTTTGTCCAATCTGGAGTAAAAGTGGGACCTGTTCTCAGTGGATTTTCCTGTTTCCATTTCAGGTTCTGTTTGGTAGGATTCAGTCTGTGACAGAGTCTGCTTACCCCTTGTGAGCCCAAGCAGCTCAGCTGAGGCTGCAGAGAGATAAATGTGCAGCTGGCCCCTGCTGAGTTGATGTTGGCACAGCTGCACTAGTACCAGCATCTGAAATACTGAGATAATCTGAAATAATAATCTGAATTAGCTGAAGTGAGCTGTGTCTGTTCAGTGCCCTGGCCAGCATTTCAGGAGATCAGCATCCCTGGGTTGTGCAGCACGTTTTGCCTGCTCATGAGACCCTTTCAGGACCTCCAATGCTGTGGGCTGAGGAGAAGCATTTTGCTGAAGAAGCCGAGGCTGTGGCAGTGCCAGAGCCCCCAGGAGTGTCTGCAGCAGTGCTGATGGATGGGATTGTTCACGTGCTGCCACCACCCTTCACACAGCAGCCCCTTTGCTCCTCCTTGCCACATCAGCTGTCTCACAGCATGTTCCCCTGGGAAAAAGCTCTCAGGAAGGGAAATAAATCACTTTTGTAGTGCTCTTCAATCAGAAGCCTTGTCTTTTGCTTGGTAGAATGCCCTTTCTATGGTGTTGGAATCATTGGCAGTTGCTAGCTCTGCTGAGAACAGCCTGCCACTGCAGCCCTGTCCCCTCCAGCAGAGCTGGCCGTGACGCCTGCGCTTCTCCCACGTGGAGCAGCTCACCTTCAGCCTGCTAGAGTGAAAAATGCACTACAATGCACTTACCACAGGGTATTTTTCTTCCTTTCCTTCAAACCTCACCTTGTTTCAGTTCCAGAAAACAGTCAGAAAGCCACAGAGGCTTTCTCTCCACTTCTTGACCAGCGGCCTCATGTCACAGCACGGCGCTGGAGTTTTGGCCAGGAGGAAGTTCTCCTCTAAGACATGGTGGCAGAGATTTTTCAGCAGAAAGGAAAAGGAATGGACTGCTATCCATATCTCATTTTCTTGGCCTTGGGGTTGGCACTTAGGGAGCAGAGATGGGCAACAAAGGATTTGATTGCAGAAGGTACATGGCTTACATGCTGTTTGAGGCACCTCAATTTCCATACCACAGTAATGGCCCCATAGATAGAGTTACGGAGATATTCTTGGCTCTGGTCCTGAATCATCAGCGAGGATTGGGGGCTTGCTATTAAAAGAATAAGTGTTTCTTTATAATCAAAACAGATTACTCTAAAGCAAGTGAAAATGACCAGAGCTCCAAGCCAGCCTGTCTTTCCCAGGATACCGATAGCTGGAAAAAAGCAGAGGTCATGGATCATGTTCTGTCACTTCACCCTATTGGTATTTTTCATGTTTCAGGCAGACATCCAAAATTGGATACTTTTCCATAAAGCAAAAGCAGCAGAAGCAAAATGGCAATAATCACACGCCCATTATCCATCGTTCCCACACCTACAATCTTGACACTACATCTGGGAATCTGATGTGCACCTTTTCCTTTCTTCTACTCCTTGCCTCCATTAAGTCACCAGAATATTTGTATTTCTTCATAGCACAAATGTATTTAGAATACTTTATGATTATCCTAAAGTATCTAAAAAAAATTTGCTTTACTCTATGGTATTACATTCTGAAAGGGAAACAATAATGTTTTTCTAGATATGATCTAGGCAGGATCCAAGTACTCTCTACACTGGATCTGTGAGGTTTTTGATATGCTGGTAGTTCATTTAAAGCAAGCCAACTCTCTTGGACTGCACAAGAAACACCTGTGTAAACCCAGAGAGAAATTCCAGCCACAGAAAGTCCATTGTGTAAGTCCACTGTCCTGTCAGATGAACAATTGTGTCTGTTGAAATGCACCTTTTCCTCTTGAAATACATGGTTTTTTCACATTTTAGAGACAGTGGTTTCAATTGGGATCCTGATAATGAACTTCTGGATATTGAGGGCTGCAGCAAACCTTGAAGTGCACTTGCAACTTTCTTTTGAGATGAAATGTAGATCAGAAATGTGCAGTGTTTGGCTTGTCTCTCTCATCTCTCCTGCATGATGCCACATGTTTAGGACCTCATTTTATTCCTTCTCTGCAAGATGAGATGTGAGACAAGCCAACACTACTGGGCAATAAGGCCAAGGTCTTCTTTGAAATCCTGTTGCACATCACCAGCTAGAGAATTAAGGTCAAAGGACAGAAAAGGTTTTCCCTAATATAATCAATCCTTTGTGTTCCTTTGAGAACTGCTGTTTTACAGTTAGGGTGATTATCTTGGTCTCCTTTCTTCCCAGTATGTATAAAATGTTTCTGAATTCTATTTGTAATTTTCTGCTAGAGGGAAAGAGTATGGGAAAATGTTCAGCCAAAGTAATAATAAATGGTAGTTATTAAAAGCTGAGAAGGTGAGAGCAGAAGAAGAACAAAATGTGTTTTTCTTACCCTGCTAGCTGCAATTTGGTATCAGCACAGTTGTTTAGGGGGAGGTGTGTGGGTTTTGACTTGCTGTTCCACCAACAGATGTGTAGCCCAGACAAAAATATTTATTCCTGCTTTTCAGAGTTGCACACTGGTACAGCATTGATGGCACATCCAAATCTTTGTAGAGGAGTCCTCTAAGTTTTGCAGGATAATAATGTAATTTGTTTGTTTGTTTTGTTTTTCAGACAAGAAGCCCTTCTTGCTGCCATTAGTGAAAAAGATGCCAATATTGCTCTGCTAGAGCTTTCATCCTCCAAGAAGAAGACTCAGGATGAAGTGGCTGCACTGAAACGAGAGAAAGACCGTCTTGTGCAGCAGCTCAAGCAGCAGGTGGGTACAGGAGGGCCAGGAAAAAAATCCAGCTAATAATCTGCTGTGGGATTATTATCTTGATTTATGGAACTAATAATGTATAATCCTGTCATGTGTTAGGCCAGCAAGTGCATAAATAACAATTCCAGACGAGCTGCTGGGCTCAGTGTGGAGGGAAGTTTCTTTGTGTCGCTGCCTGAGTGGTAAATGTGTGATGGGATGTGGAGGAAGCTGTGAATGAGGAGGACATTGGTTATTGTCCTCTGCAGTCTGCAGAGCCACAGGCTCAGGGCAAAGCAGTGATGCTTCCCTTGGGGGTTTGCATTTGCTGTGCTGGGGAAGAAACCTATTTGGGAGAAACTTCTCTTAGCTGTAGAGCTCAAATATGAATGTTGCAGCTCTCAGCCTCTCCTGTGGTTTCTGACTGCAGCAGGAGCACCACGCCCCACATCCTTGATACCACTTCATAATACTGTAGGCAGAAGAGTTGCATTTTGAAAGCTGACATGCATTCCTACACTAGCAAACCACACATCTTTTCCCCAAGAGCCAAACTGCTCAGTTTTGGAATGAAACCCAATACACATTGTGCCAGTGAGAAGGATGTGTACAACAAAATGCTTCAAGGAGGCCATTCCAGTCCTCGAGTCTCAAATTTTCAGATCATTATACAGACACCCAAGAAGAGTACCTACCTTTCTTCCTAATCACCTTTATCATTCTCTCATTTGCTGAGAAGGAGATTGATCAAATCAAACATTTCAGTATTGTGGGGGGCAGCACAGCCATTCTGCATGGGACATGGCCAGAGCTGCAGTGCAATTTATCACCACACTTCAAGCACAGCAGGGACAGCCAAATACTCCAGCAACAGCTACAGGTGTCCTCTGTGCTGACTGGGATAGAGACAAACATAAGAACACCCCAAAAAACTGTGGGAGGTCTCGTGCTTGTGAGGAGATTGGTCCCTTCCCATGTCTGGCTTTTCCTGTTTCCAAGATCTTTCTGTGTTGGCATAACAATTAGCAAAAGTGTGTTTCTGTTCAAGCATTTAGTATTACATTCCAGTACTGAATGCAATGGGAAAAGTGCATGGCCAATAAAACACAGAGGAAGCAAAAGGCATCCCTGGCAATAAGAGATTTAGGATCTGAAAGAATCTGTGTAGATTTTTCACTTCAGCACTTCTGCTGGGTTTTTCCTGAGTTATTCCCTTGCCACATTCCTGGTAATGGCACATATGCTGCTGCCAATCCAGTATCAACTTCTTCAGTGCCACCATTTCCATCTTCATAAAGTTTTATGTCCAGCATTTCATCTGTCAGCCAGGTGATTTCTGCTGCTGTCAGAGGCTGTGAGACAAAAACAGGTCAGCAGTGTGATAAGGGATTTCTCTGCTTCTTCCTTAGCAAACACCAGTAGATTATTGTTACACTTACATGTTTTTAAGGGTTTTTTTTACATGTTACCATGTTTTTTTACATGTTTTTAGCATGTTGTTTATGGTTTAATTTAAGAACAGTACTTTTGAAGGTGCTATGTACCAGCTTCAGAATGAGTAAGAAGTGCAGGTTACAGTTTTGTATTATTTACTTTTGAGCAACAGTCATAATTACTGTCCCTGGTCAGCCAGGTGATCTACTGAAACGGGAATCAGAAGTGGTCACAGCAATGTCAGGTGCTTGTTTTGGTCATGTAATTGTTGATGCAGCAGCTGTAATTTATGCTACCACTCATTCTAAGAGAAATTAACACTTCTTCTTAGTTCTTGTTGTCCTGAGCTTAAATTCAGGTGCTTTCATGTCTCTTGCCCTTCCCAGTGTCCTTCTGATTATCTTTTGTGAGTACCTGGAACAATCTGAATTTTGTGGTGATTTTTTTTCTACTGAAAGTTTGTGTATATTTAGTCAACATATCAACATTTTTCTTCTCTGTAATGATTTAGGTTTCAGGTAGATGATTTTTTAAAACATTTGTAGTTCCTGTTGTTATCTTTCAGTGCTGATAAGTCTTACAGTATCATAAACTCTTCCTAAAAAATCGTGGCAGTTTCCCTTAAGGATGCCAGTTCTAAGTGCTTTTCTGTGTATTTCCTGTTTAATTTCCCAAATAAATGAAAATTGCAAAGGAGAATAATTTGAAATTGTTCTTGGTATGTAGTGAGATCAGTTATGATCTGAGGTTGGAGCAACAGTCCTTTTTCAAATAATTCATTGGACTGTTGAAATGCCTTTGAAGATTCTGTTTCCAAAACTGCCATCAGCCCTAAAGACTTGTCACTGTTTAAGCTTGTTTAAGATTTTAATCTTAAAAATAATGAAGAAAGCAGAAAGCAATCTCCTCAACACATCTGTGCTGTAGTACAAATAAAAGTTTTATGTGTAGTATAAGTATAAAATCACAGCTATTCTCCAGTACATCCATAATCTCCAATTATGTTTACATATAAACAATCTAAACTATATTTAAAGCATACCTGAGAAATATTTATGTGACCAAACAGAGATTTGACACATCCTCCCTAAATTCTATGCTGTGCTTTAGGGATGTGTCATTTTATATCCTTTTTTGTGTGTGTGTGTGTGCAGCTTTCAACACATGGATAGAAAAACTCCTCATTGCTGATTACAGGAGAGCATTACTCACCACCCCTCTATGAGTTGCAGAGAATCAAAAATTCCATCTATTTTTTTTTTTTTTCAGTGCCAGTAGTTTTGGGATGTACTTTTTCTGAATAAATTCAAATCACACCAATTTTGACAGCTCCAGAAACAGGAGATGGGTCAGAAGAGATGGCTGTGAGATTTTACAGGATCCTGATGTAGTCAAGGGGAATCTCATTTTTCTACATGCTTTGCAAATATTCTGTGTACTTGGCCCTTGCACTCCTCTTCAGCTGTTCCAGGTCACCAGCCTCATATTTTCCAACAAAACAACTATGCTGCTTCCTCAGTTTAAGCCTCCTCTACACGGACCCCTTTCTGCATCTGGAGAACAAGGGTCCATCTGTGCTTGCCAGCTCCACAGAACCGTGTCACCTTTCAGGAACTTCCTAAGAGTTTAGCTGTAATTCTTAAATTTACAGCAGAAACGGTGAATGAAAAGTCTTTCAGACTCACAGATGTATTGAACACAGCTGTTCAAGGAGGGCGAGTGATGCCACAAATCAAGATATTCTGGAAGACTTCGAAAAGCAGTTGTGGTACCCAAAATTCAACCCTTTGGATTCAGAGCTGGGATCCTGACGTCAGTCATTCGTGTTTCAGAGCTGCTGAGCCCCCTGATAAGTATTTGGTGTTTCAGTCCATGCCATTGCTAGGAAATGCTTTGGCTTTGTGGTGGGAAAGCAGCTCTTTGTGTTGGTGGTCAGGCACAGCTGAGTAAAAGATTCCCGTGTCCACGTGTGTAGGAAATGCTGTGTGGGAAGGGCTGGCTTGTGGGAAGGAGCAGCATTGCTGGGTGTCCCTGCTGGGAGGAGAGGCTGGCAACAGCTCTGACACTGTGCTGGAGGACAGCAGTGAAAAGCAGGATTTGTGTCGTGGCTTTTCAGTGCTTCTGCTGGTTCCCATCGGCTGGCTTGCTGTTAATTGACATTTCTTAGAGTGTGGAAAGGTACAACACTCGCAAAACAAAAACTTGTTCTGACTATTTCCCATTGTATTTATTTACTTATTAATTTTATTTATTCATTCATTCATTCATTTCATTATTTATTTATTTATTTCATTGTTCCATTATTTATTTATTTCATTATTTCTTTAATTAATTAATTACACATATCCATGAAGACACACAGCTTCATCAAGGGAAGGGTATCCAGAATCTGGAGGGCTCTGCTGATTTCTCCTTTCCCAGCTCTGTCACGTTCCTGGTCGCTCGCACAGGGAAGGAGTCCTGCCAAAGACATTTTGGTTCTTTAATTTCTCTAAGTATGTGCACTAAAGTTTGGATGAAGAGAAGCATTTTGGAAAGAGGCTATGGCATCAATATTGTTTTAATTTAGAGTTTCTAGGCTCTGAATGGCAGGAATGTGCCTCAATATAGAGCCCATTTCCTAACGAGGCGCTCGGCATCGAGCAGGCTCTCCAGCAAACGCAGCTGCCTGTTCCATATTGGTTGTCAGCTTGGATGAGGGATTTCCTCCAGCATCAGACAGGCAGGGCCACTGCAGGGCGAGGGTCAGCAGCTAATGTGGTCCCAGTTATTCCTCCTGGGGCTGTGTGTCCGTGGGGAGCTCCTGGAGAGGCGGCGGCTGCGGGAGCAGAGAGCTGGAGCTGTGTAAGCAGCTCCAGATGTGGCACACAGAGGGCCCTGCTCTGAGAGTTCTCTATCAGCTGCTCAGCTGACAGAAAACTGCCTGCTTGCCTTTTATTTATCCCTTTCCTCGTCAAGCTAAGTCTTGATAGCAGCTTCTACTTATTGGAGCAGAGCAGAGCGCCGCTCCGCAGTTTGGGGTGGTGAAGGGAAGGTGTGTCTGGAGGGGCTGAGGTTTTCCTGCCCGTGGGCTTTGAGCCTTAAACAGCTGGGATTTCCTGCCAGGAGCTGTTTGCAGCAAACACTGTCATTTTCTGTGTCTGTGCAGAGTGGGTGCCTGACTTGACCAGCACCTCTGTCACTGCCATGCCATAAATGTGAAGTGTTAAGCTTTAGGAGGCTCTGAACAGTATTAGTGTTTTCTGACAGCTTGGATTATCATTCAAATTAATTGTTTTAAACAGCCATATTCACATCATTACATAATTTCAATATTATTATTACATAATTTCAATATTATTAGTAGTAGTATTAGTATTAGTATCATCATCATCATCATCATCATCATCATCATCATCATAGCAGAAGTTACCAGAAACTAGCTTGACTCAATCAATGTTACTCATGACAGGATCTCAAGATTTTCATTTGAAATTATGTGACTTCAGGTTAGATTAATACAACATGTGGTTTATTATGCTGCCTATGCCTAAATAAAAGTTACTTTCAGACCAGTTCCTCAGTCTTTTAAGAAGATGTTGAGT